AGTCAATTTGTTTGAGGAGGGAGCAATGCTATGAACTATAATAATCTGCATTTATTTGTCTCTATGTTGCAGAATCTTTGTGCAACTGTACCGTGAGAGCAGATTTGTGCCCACCTTGACTCCCTTTATTTGCTGAAGCTCAATTGATCCGCAAACGGTCTGTTCACTTTTGTAACAAAATATGTGTCAAATGGCGAGGTATGGGCTGAAAACTCTATGCACATTAACCATTTGCCTATAGCCACCGTATACCTTGTGTGCAGTGTGTAGTTTGCAGGGGCTACAGAATGACTTTAGCGAGTGGAGCACCGCAGACTGTAACCACGCCCCCCCCCCAATAGACCTATAGCGGCATACTATTGGACGCAGATCTATAGGATGAACTATATAAACCGCCCAGAGCCGGCCCTCAAGGAACGCGGAAACTGAAGCAGAGCTTGAGACGAGACTCGACAGCAGGGACACGCAGAAAGGAACACGCAGGACACTCGAGGAGCGGCCCCAGGAGCAGCCCCTGTACCAGCCCCGGTACCAGCCCGGAGCGGCACCAGGATCAGCGCGGAACAGACGAGACGGGTCGCGAGTCTTCTGTGGCGGACGGACGCGGTGCAGCAGGAGCGGCCCAGGGATTTACAGGACGCCAGGGTTCGAGACGCACATCCAATCTGCGCGCGCGCACTCTCGGAGCCCACCAGGAGTGTGAAGAAAAGGCCAGCACCAAGCTAAGTAAAGGGACGTCTGCAGCCTCTCACTGTCGTTGGGGAATTTGCAGTGTGTGTGCAGTGTGGTGTTTTTAAGTGTGATTTCCCCTGTCCCCCCAACCAGTGTGACCGAGGCTCGGACAGACGTAGGCAGACGCGCGCTCTGGGAGTGCGGGCAGACTGGTACGCGGAGCCAGCTCGGCCTGGATCAGCAGCGGACCAGACCAGCCCGGGGTGGCTAGACTGCGCACGCCAGATAAGTAAAAGGGACGCTTCCCCACTTACTCTGCTACTCCTGTGCCCTGTGTGTTTTGTCGTACCTGGCTGGCATTGAGAATCTCCCTTGTCCACAGGCCATTTTAGAGGGGCGTGATTGTGGACGGGCCCTCACAGACTGGACTGCTCAACCCTCTCCTCTGGACGTCGTGTTATCCCCCTTACTCCCCTCCCCAAAGTAGTTTAGGCGCTCCTTGTATATATTGTACATACTTTTACTGGAGAAACAGGCTTAGACCTATTTTTAGACTCCATTGACTCTTTTAAAATACGTTGCTTTTAGCGTTGAATGAAATACATTAAAACACTGTTAACTTTTATCTGGTTGCATCATTTCCTAAGAGTGGAAGTATTTTTGGTGGTGTAGGACCAAATCGTGACATATGCAGTTCTAAACACAGAGTCTCTGATGCTGTTCTCACCAGGGTGCTGATCAGATCCCTTCCACCTGTTCTCTAAGCTCCAGAGAAATTGCATGAGCTCTGGATGTCTCATATCGCCTGATTTTATTTCTGAAAGAGGCCAAGGCGGTTTCATGGTTGTTATTGGTGCCTAAGGACCAGATTTTGAAAGAAACCCACTTCTCTGATACGGCCACTCCTTTTTCAGTGAGGAGTGGATCTGACGGCCAACAACTTCACAGCCTGAAAGTACATTGTAATCTTTTTATGTATGACATATATATTACATCATATAATTGTGTAGAATTAGTGAAAACCTTTATGAATAATTAACTATATCTTTCAAAAATACAAAATGGAAGACTTTCACTAATAAAGCCTTCACTTTGTTCTGCAATTTTGTCACTGATTTTAACCCGTTTTCCTGTCCCTCCATTCTAACCATGGAGGCCTGTTCCCGTCTGACTCTCAGTCCACAGAGCTGGACAGGAATCCACACTTTCTAGAAAGATTAAAAGAACATGACTATATCATATATAGAGAAAACACATTCATGGCTTTATTAACAACTACAAAAATGTTGAATCATTATGTGCAATACGCGTGAGCTAAGCTGAGATCCAGGTACAAATATGCTAGCTAGCATTAGAAGCCTGCTTACCTGGAGAAGGAATGACCCTGATGACGTCTGGCTCCTCATCACTAGAAACTCCCACAACATCCTCCGGAACAGAGGGAGGCTTCAAAAAGAAGTCAAGCGTGGCTTGTTTTCTTATCATTTCTAACAAAAAAAGGCTCGCTCTGGTCTCTCGTCTCCCCTGACTGCCGCCTGCAGATTTGTTTCATGGCCACTCCCACTTTTCCCTGCAGCCGCCCAATCCAAACACGTTAACAACAGGAGAAGGCACTTCATTGGACAAGAGCAGCATAATCACATATGGTCACAGCCTCATAAACTCTGGTGGCCGGAGGAAAGCCTGCATGGACACAGTCATTAGAAAGCTGGAACAATGAGACACAATGAGTCAGAGAAATGTAATATACTCAACCTTGTGATTTGTGAGAAGGGTCTTTATGCGCATAATAATAGACATAGGTACAAACTGAACGATGCAGTCCGTTCAGTCGGACGTCTTTACCTTTTACAGAGCTTGCTTATATAATTTTTCCAAATGTCAGGGAGGAGTTAAAACCTTTACTGTAATTTCTGTTTTTTGGATACACAGTTCAACTTTCATTGACTTGTCACAACCAAATGCCATAAGTCTAGTTAGATGATGTATGTCGTCAGTCGTTCCTGGTCTGTCTCCGTGGTTCTGTGTCTGTATTTCGCTCTTTTGAACCTGACTTGAACCGAGATGTTCATGAAAAAACATACTAACAAGCGGTAAGCGATACCAGAGAAGCACACGCGTGGTGCTGGAGTTCTGCTGACTTGAGACTCTAACTAACGGCTGATTCATTTGTACTGTTACGTTTCACAGAAAATGTATAGTGTATAATACGGAAATGTCCAAGTGTTTCAGGTGGTAACACGGCGTTTACCTGCGTATCACGTAGACTACACCACTAGGGAAATAAACTGTTCTAAAGATTGGTGACAGTTAAAATGAATACATGAACTGCATCCGGTGAAGATAACGTCTGTTGTTTGGTTGAAACCAAATAAGTTTTTCAAATAAAATGCAGTGATGTGTTTGATAGGGACATTTAAGGATGAATCTGCAAAGACAGTTGAAGAGTTTGAAGGTTTGAGGTATGAGTCATATGTATTATTGCAGATGATATCAGAATAATCTATGATGGGTCAAACTAGTTTTCTTTCTAACTTCCTGGGTGAAACCATTGGATAAATGAAACAGTATGTTCTCTTAATGATGTGATCAATATGAGGTTTTAAATTAAGCTCTAGGTCATATTCATATTCAGGAATCTGAATGAATCTGTTATTTTAAAGTCACTTTTGGACTGACTTCAAGGCAAGGCAAGGCAAGTTTATTTGTATAGCACAATTCATACACAAGGCAACTCAAAGTGCTGAACAAAATAAGAAAGCATTAAAATCATAAATAATCACAGAACATTAAAAAGGAAGATAAAAATATAAAATCCCTCAGTTGTAGCACAGCTAAACAGAAGTGTCTTTAACCTGGTTTTAAACATTGTCAGAGAGGAGGCCTGTCTCACATCTTCAGGAAGACTGTTCCAGATTTTAGCAGCATGAATCTGAAAAGCAGCCTCCCCATGTTTAGTTCTGACTCTGGGCACTAACAGGAGTCCAGTCCCTGTGCTCCTCAGAGTCCCAGCAGGAGTCCAGTCCCTGTGCTCCTCAGAGTCCCAGCAGGAGTCCAGTCCCTGTGCTCCTCAGAGTCCCAGCAGGAGTCCAGTCCCTGTGCTCCTCAGAGTCCGGGCTGGTTCATATGGGACTAACATGTCACTAATATATTTTGGTGCGAGGCCATGGAGAGACTTGTAACAAGCAGAGCTGTTTTAAAGTCTATTCTCTGAGCCACAGGAAGCCAGTGCAGAGACCTGAGGACTGGACTAATGTGGTCGTACTTCCTGGTTCTAGTCAGGACTAATGTGGTCGTACTTCCTGGTTCTAGTCAGGACTCGAGCTGCTGCATTTTGAATGTACTGCAGCTGTTTTACAGCCTGTTTGGACAGACCTGTGAGCAGGCCATTGCAGTAGTCTAACCTACTGGAGACAAATGCATGGATAAGAATCTCCAAGTCTGCTTTAGACACTATGTTTTTGATCCTGGCAATGTTATTTAGATGGTAAAAAGCTGCTGATGTTACTGATTTGATGTGGCTATTAAAATTTAAGTCTGAGTCCAGTATTACCCCTAGATTTCTGACCTGGTTTGAAGGTTTTAGGGAGAGAGACTGGAGGTGACAGATGACGCTCTCTCTTTGTTTCTGGGGACCAAAGACAATCATTTCAGTTTTGTCTGCGTTTAGCTGAAGGAAGTTGTTTTGCATCCACTCACTGATCTGTTGGATACAGTGAAGGAGTGAGTCCACTGGTCCATGTTCTCCTGCAGTCAGTGAGACATAGATCTGAGTGTCGTCTGCATAGTTGTGATAGGACACTTTGTTTCTGCGTATTAACTGACCTAACGGCAGCATGTAGAGATTGAACAGAAGAGGTCCCCAGGATCGACCCCTGTGGTACTCCACAGGTCAGGGCCATATGATCTGAGACACAGTTTCCAATCTCCACAAAGTACTTCCTGTCTTCAAGGTAAGACCTAAACCAACTAAGGGCGGTGCCAGCGACACCAACCCAGTCCTCTGAGGGCCTGTTGTACTTGCGGGTACAGGCCCTTAGGGAATATGTACACTGACTGGAATGAAAACTATCTGTGTGGGAGATAGGAAACAGACTGCTCAGAACAGTCTGCTCTTGACTGGGGTAGTACATCCAGGCTGCATGTGGGGGAGCTCAAACTGAGATTATCCTTGGACATTTTGATAATTTACAGTCAAAGTGAGTTATGTTGTTAATTGTATTTTAGTCGTGGTTCAACGTCCTGGGGTGTCTACTTGTGTGTTGCTTGGCGTTTTTTCCGTGGTTGCTTTTATGCTTATGTAGGGAGACCCCACGGGGAGGCGGAAGATGGGTGGTGTAGGGAGGACTAGATGCTCGGGACCTGCCTGGGGTGGGCTGCCTGGGTGCGGGGGGCGTCGCGTGGAAATGGGTGTAGGGAACGGTAGTCAGTCGATTGGTGAACGTTTATGTATAATTTATGCTCGTTCTTAAGTTGTTTAGTGTTACATGTGTTACATTTTGTACGGGAAAATGGTTCCTCTACTGAAGAAGTGGCGTCGGCGTTTCTTGGCTTTTGGTGGTTCCTTACAGCTATTGGTGTGCTTCCTTGTTCATTTTTTGCAGTGTTCTCTTCTTATATATTTGTTTTCGTGTTTATTGTTTGTTGCTCTGTTTTTAGGGCCTGGTTGTTTCTTAATTTATTTATCTTTGTTTTATTCGTTATACTCGTTGAAGGCTCTGTCTGTCTTACACCCCCCTTCTTGTTTTTCTTTTCTTCTATATTCTCTTTGTATGTTTCTTTCTGTTGACATCCTATGCCGGAGACGACTTGAGCAGTGGGTAATTTTTGGCGGAACCCCCCTTCTAGTGGTCCTAAATTTGCTCCTAATGTGCATAGGGCGTAAATCCTAGATAGCCCATTGCCGCCCAATGACATTAGTCAGTTGTACAGAGTCTTAAATGCAGGTAAATCCTGCCTTTGATCTTTGTTATTTGTGAAATGCTGACAGCATCCTGGTTAGTTCTTGCCAACCTCCCAACAAGTACTATGATAGCCAAAAAGTCTGATCTACTATGCTTTTTAAGATCCTACGGCCTCCACGGCCTCGCGTGTAATACTCTTGCTGCGTTTATGCCTCGATATTTATATGGCGTTGACTATGAGTTATGATATGGCTCGTCAGTGCGTTATTATCAGGCACGACTATATATTCGACATCTCACGGCAGGGGTGGGTTGGGCGGCGCGGGGTGGGCTATCAGCGTGGGGCGGAGCCACGCCGCGTACACACGCGCCAAGTTATCGGCGAAGGGACATGGGGACGTGGGGGAGCGTGCACCAAAGAGTGCAGGCGGTGTGCCTTTTTTCGCTTCTCTGTAGGGTTATATGTTTAATTGCTTGCAGCCCTTTATTGGTTTAAGCTACATGTGTGTCATGATCTCTCTAGTTTTCTCCGCTCTTTGTCACTTAGGCGTGTGAGACGTATGGAACTTTGACACCTTCGACTAAGTTGTATCTTGTGTTCGTGGTTGTGGATAGGGGCAGTTTTCGGGTTCTGTGGGGACTAGTATGTGTGGCCGGGGTTCTCATGGTGCCCTAATATATAGTTACTTGATCATTTCATCTTTATTACAGTAGACTATTGTGTGCCAAATTTGTATCTGTTTCCTCGTGCGGACGTTCTAGTTTCTGCTCATCGTGGGCGGTTCGGTTTCTTCCGTGTGCCTCATTGTTTTATTAGTTAGCTAGTTTTTTTTTATATTTGCTGTCCTTTATAGTGAGTGTCTCCCTCATACATCTCCCCACCATATGGACCGTTAACCATTATTATACCTAGTAGTAAGATGTGTAAGGGAGGTAGATTAGTTTTCTTTTTGGTTGGCTCTGTAATTTAAGATTTTTAATAGGGGCAACCACATATACATTTACCCCACCCCCCAACCCACCTACCCCCCCCCCCCCCCCCCCATTATATCCCAACATTAACCCTTCCTACCTCTCACCTCCCCCCCCTCATATCTCATCCAATCCAACTATAACCAATTCATCCCCACCCCACTATCTAATCCTAACCACCATAATCCTATCCCCCCCCCCCCCCCCAGACCCACCCACCCCCCCCCATCCCCTGTCTCCCTATAAGAGGCGCCTAAGCCACGGGAGGCGCCGCGCCCACTAACGTTCCCCCCGCCCCAGACCCTTTCACCTTCCCCACTCACACTATCCTCTCTCGTTTCAGTACCGTAGAATCTAGTCAAATCCCCACATTTAGAGCCAATCATATTATATAAAGCATTTAAAAAAGGCTATTGTAAAATTATTATAAAATGAACAGAATTTAAAGCTGAACATATTTTTGAGGGTTTGTTAAACCGAAAATGTATATATAGTTAGTTAGTAATGGGACTGTGTGTGATAGATGGATATATAAAACTCTTACCTCCTGCCTTAACCGAGCACATTTTCTCCAGATCAGCTTTACCTAAATCTAAAAGCTTATTTACAGCCTATAAGCCAGAGTAATGCCTCATTCAAAAGCTAGGACCTACAACAATGATAGTGACTTTTTTTTGTTGCGTTGTTGCCACGTTTATTGTCGCGCATTTCTGTCATGGTGTTGTCTTTTTGTTCCTTTCTTCTTTGCTTTATGTTCTTGCTTTTTGATTCTTTTGTTGGTGTTTGTTGCTTTTTTTCTTTTCTGCACGCTTTTGATTTGTTTGTTGTTTTTACAAAATGGGGAAATCGTATTTTGTCATGAAACAAGGTGAACAACTTTTAAAATATTGTAAGATAAATACTTGGGTATTGCTTCAATACATTTTAGAGCATACATCTGTTTTTCAAGAATCTTCGCTACATTAAATGCATGTATTGTCCATTTTCTCAAATGTTATTTTCAAAAGCATAATTATAACGTCTGAAGTACTAGAGACTCATTCAGACTGGTTAACCTGGTTTAGACTGACCATAAAAATCTTTGCATTATTTGTTAATTCTATTATGTGTTATTCCACTCATGTTTTGCAGATCCAGCAAGATTTCAGTGTAGAGGAAGAGACCATGGCAGTCGTCGTAACACCCACCGATGTGAAGGTTGTACTGGAAGGTGAAGAAGTCATGACAGATCTGCATTCAATGGTCCAAGGCTTTGCAATGCTTTTCGGCCTCATCTACGCCCTCAACATGAAGTACCCAAAGAAATGTGAACGCACATTTGAGTTCGTTCAAAAGGTACTCATGGGACTGGATAACAAGAAAATTAACACCAAAGTTCACAGGCTGAGTGTTTTGCTACACTGTGAGTAGTATGCATATACTCTTGGCAGTACAGTTTTATGAGGTTTTATTGTTCTCTCATTGCCTTTTACTATGTGCATGTATTGTAAATGCATAGAAATATTGTTATGCATTCAACAACAGTTTAACAGATTGTTCACTTTGTTTCTGCAAAAGTTACTTGTTGTAACCAAAACATTCAAAACCTTTTTTTTTTTGTCACATTCCTTGGCTGATTTCAGTTCTGCTAAAACAGATTTTTCATGCAATAATGGCATTAAAAGTACTATTTTGGTCATTAAAAAAACAAAATGTTGCCTCCTGCTACCTGGATAAAAAAAATGTAACGAATTAATGGAAGTTGCATTTGTACGTTCTGTCCCTTTTAATAAAATATTTGATTCAATTAATCAAATTGTGTTGAGTGAACTTACTAAATTTAAATTAAGCCTTTTATTAAAAGTACATTGGTTTAATGAAAGTTTTTAAATAGGCCCATATCTGCTAATGAAGACTTTTAAATTTACTCAATGAGCTTTTGAATGTTAAAGTCATAAACATTTTCTTGTTGAACCAATTTAAAATATTAAAGGTTACAGATGAAACATTTACAGTTTGATTAATGGATTTATATCCTTATGAACAACTAGTAAAATTTGGATGTAAATGATTTCTATATAATTTTCAGATTAAACCAATGTTTTATTTTTTTCAGTGTAATCTTTAATTTAGACTATATAAACACTGAGAGCCAAATGAAAGATTAGATTTTGTAGGATTAATACACTTTGATAGGTAGTTTTTGTAAATAATTATAACATGATGAGTGTAATGAACAAGCTTATAAAAAGACATGCCAAATTATTTCTCATTGCTTTGTGTCACGATAAGTTCTGAAGTATTCACAATGGGCCTCATTCACGAATAACTTCGTAAGAAACTACTCAACTTTCTTCTCAAGTTGTCCTTAAGTAGATTTCTAAGAAGTCCCCACGTGGGATTCATCAACGCACTCGTAAGCCGCTGAATTGTTCGCAGCTGTTCTCTCAGATTGATGAATCCCATTTCCTCGTAAGTACAGCGCGCGTGCCAGGTGCTTCATTAGCATAGGTACTTAGCATAGGTAACCGCCCACTAATGCCCATATAAGGGACAGCAGGGCCGTGTGCAGACGGCAGAGGAAACAGCAACAGGCCTAAAGCAGAGTTACACGGAGCAAAATAGTCACCCTTTTTTCTTCCTTTACCAGACTGAGAATAAAGTTATAAAATGTTGACTTAAAAGGCGAAATATTATGATAATAAAGTCGAACTAGCAAAATTATGAGATTAATCTAAGAATATGATGAGATTAATCTCAAAATGTTATGAGCTTAATTTAAAAATATATTATGTATTATTTTAAAGATGAATCTCAAAATGTTTTGAGATTAATCTCAAAACATTTTGGACCCTGGGAGGAGATCCAGCGCGGACCAGCGCTGAGACCAATGCAGACCCGAGGAGAGACTGGAGTGACCAGCACACAGAAACCAGCGCGGACAGGAGAGACCGCATAGACTGGAGTGACCTGACTGGAGAGACCGGTGCGCAGAGACCAGCGCGGACCGAAGAGAGACCGCATAGACCAGACTTGAGAGACCAGCGCGGACCCGTATGGATCCAGGAGCATGCAGCACGGACCCGTCTGGAGAGACTAGTGCAGACCCGTCTAGAGCCATGGGAGAGACCAGTGCAGACCCATATAGATCCATGGGAGAGACCAGTGCAGACCCGTCTAGAGCCATGGGAGAGACCAGTGCAGACCCGTATGGATCCAGGAGCATGCAGCACGGACCCGTATGGAGAGAGACCAGTGCAGACCCGTATATGGGAGAGACCAGTGCAGACCCGTCTAGATCCATAGGAGAGACCAGTGCAGACCAGTATAGATCCATAGGAGAGACCAGTGCAGACCCGCATAGATCCATGGGAGAGACCAGTGCAGACCCGTATAGATCCATGGGAGAGACCAGTGCAGACCCGTATAGATCCATGGGAGAGACCAGTGCAGACCCGTATAGATTCATAGGAGAGACCAGTGCAGACCCGTATAGATCCATGGGAGAGACCAGTGCAGACCCGTATAGATCCATGGGAGAGACCAGTGCAGACCCGTATAGATCCATGGGAGAGACCAGTGCAGACCAGTATAGATCCATGGGAGAGACCAGCGCAGAGACTCAGCGCGGACCCCGCAGCCTCCTGCAGCAGCAGTATATATGCCGTTGTTCTGTGGCCCGTGGATAAAGAAATGCCCCCTATAAATAGGAAGGGGTCACTAATACACGGCAAGATTTCCAATGTATTTGATAAAGCGTTGGCACATTTCATTTCAAAATGAATTAAAAAGTAGGCCAGATCTGCAGTGAAAAAGGCGGTATATAAATAAAGATTACTAATAAAGATTACTACAAATAAATAAATACATACATCGATATGACGGACATATCACTGGAATGTTGTATTTTTATTCAACTTCACCAAAGAGGACAACCCCGGCGTGTGAACATGTCGGCACTGAATGCGTACGAGTGCTCCTGAGGACTCGTAGGATTTGTACTTGCCCAAGAGAAATTCTGGTTACGAGAAATATTCGTGAATGCCACTTTCTTCGTAAAAACCGCGTAAGTAGGATTTACGTACAAATCTGTTCCTAAGAACCGTTCGTGAATGAGGCCCAATGTTCTATAGGCCCCAGGCCGATCCATTTATTGTTAAAAGTATGAAATTATCTACATTTAATTCATGTTAATGTAAGTAAGTAAGTAAGTAAAGTTTATTTGTATAGAGCCTTTCACAGACCAGGATCACAAAGCGCTTCACACATTAAAACAAATACACATGCAAGTCAGATAAAAGCAGAACACAGAAAAACACAGTTTACATTTACAGAGGCCTATGAACAGTGAGGTGAGAAAGCCTGTCCAAACAAATACTGTACGTCTGTAGTTGGGACTTAATATCATCAACAGTCTCTAAGATACGCAGAGACTGAGGAAGCTCATTCCAGAGGCGAGGAGCAACTGCCTGGATCTGTCTGCTCTGGTTTTAAAGCGAGTGCGGGGGACCATCAACAGGTTCTGAGTGGAGGACCATCAACAAGTTCTGAGTGGAGGACCTCAGACTCCTGTTGGAGACACAGGGGTGGATCAGGCCCTGGATGTGTTCAGGCGCCTGACCATGAAGTGCCCTGAATGTCAACACCAGAATTTTAAAATGGATTCTGTGTGAGACAGGGAGCCAGTGTAAGGCCTTCAAGACAGGGGTAATGTGGGCTCTCCTGTGGATGCTCTCTCCTGTGGGTGCTCTCTCCTGTGGATGCTCTCTCCTGTGGGTGCTCTCTCCTGTGGGTGCTCTCTCCTGTGGGTGCTCTCTCCTGTGGGTGCTCTCTCCTGTGGGTGCTCTCTCCTGTGGGTGCGGGTCAAAAGCCTCACAGCAGAATTTTGGATGACTTGTAAACAAGCCAGGTCTTTCTTATTAAGACATGTAAGCAGGCTGTTACAGTAGTCCAATCGCGAGGAAACAAAAGCGTGGGCAATCATCTCCAGCTCCTGAGCTGAGACCATGTGTCTGAGCTGAGACCATGTGTCTGAGCTGAGACCATGTGTCTGAGCTTGGAGATGTTGCGCAGGTGGAAGTTACAGTTACGGATCAGCTGTTTGGTGTGTCGTACTAGGGACATCCCTTCATCAAAAGTGACTCAGAGGTTCCTCAGACTCTTTTTTACAGAGCTACTTAGGTCACCAAGGTGCTGAGCAATGACGTAATGACAAGTAATAGATATTTCATTTTACCTTATTATTAAATATATATTTATACCTAATGTAATATAAATCTTTTTAAGTGGTTATGTGGTCGGTATCGGGGCACCCAAGGACTCTGTTGCCTGGGGCCCCGGGGTACCCTTGGAACG